TTATATTTAGTGAATTTGCCGATTGGTTTTGCTTGGTTCAGAACTTTTGAACCTGTTTGGGTTTTCTACGAATTAGGTGGAACAGTTTGATTCACAGTGAAATTAGGTGGAATATTTAGTTCAACTTGTTTCTAATGTACAACGACGGATCTGTATCTTAGCTTTTTATTTGATATTTATTGATGAGTACAATTTGAGTTACTGCGTTTTTTTGACGTGCTCAAAAGTTTGATATGAAATGGGTTTTGTTTGTTTTCTTTCTTGACCTTTTTCTTTTTAATTTTCAAGCTCTGTTTCATTTATGGCTTGTGTAATTTTTTTAAAAAAAAAACAAAGTTTGGCTACTTGGCTATGATGATGCGAGCTTGTTGTTTCCCAGATCAAAGAAAACATAAAAGATGAGATGAATATATTATTTTATTTTTTGAGTTCTTTCACTGTTGAACATGTGTTTATGATCCCTTGTAAATGCTCAGTGTGGACAATATTTATCTGAATGAACCCGTCATGTTTCAGTCTACCATTCTGCAGAATTCTTGGTTTTCCCACATGGTTATATGTGTGTCAGGAGTTGTAATTTTTTTTTTTTCCTCAAAATTTTTGTTTGGATTGAAACTGTTCTGAGACGAGAAAAGAAGGAAAAAGAAAATAATATCGACATACATTCACTGATACACTACAAGGTTATTGATCCTCTGCTATTTTGTTTATTGACTGTAGGATTTCTTCTGTATTTACAACCATTTTGTTGGTTTTTGTGTAATCCCAAGTACAAACTGATCCTACACTACGTGCTTTTAAGTGGCTAGTACCCTGAAACTGTTTTATGTTAGTCAATTAACAGGTAGGAATAACTTTAGAACATCAAAATCCATACTTATAAGGACTCTTGAAGAGTGAGTATGAATGCTTATTTGTATGACTGAAAGTTGGGGACTCTTCATGACACTTGAAACTTGGAATTCTGCTTTCTTGAATGTTGAAAAACTAGGGAAAAAATGTCTTCCCACTTAGTACAGATTGACATTTCACTCCCTCATTGCAGATGCCATTCCCTCTAATAAAGCCATGCTTTTGCAAATATATGTTGCCATGAAGGCCATGCCTTGGTACAGTGCTCTTCCAACCATTTCTGAGTACATGGTTGAAAATGGCTGGGCAAGGTGCTTCTCAAGAATAAGTGATGTCAGTTGGCATGCATACCTGATGTATTTAGCAATTTATCTTATATTCGTGGAGTTCGGAATTTATTGGATGCATAGAGAGTTACATGACATAAAACCTCTGTATAAATATCTTCATGCTACCCACCACATCTACAACAAGCAGAATACCCTCTCTCCATTTGCTGGTAAGCTGTCAAACTACCCAACTTTCATGCTTTATGCCACTTTTAATATTAGCTCATCTGTAACTGAAAAAAATTATATTTATCTCGTCTATCTAAATTGGATGCAAGCATGTGCACATATATTTTAGTAATTTCTGATTTATTACCTGATTTTATTATTTGTGTTACTACATATGTGAAAAATGTTTGGCGGACTTCATGAGGTTGCATGTTTCTCTTATGCTCTTTCCTGAACTCTTTCTTTTCTTTCTTTCTCTGTCTCTCTGTCTCTCTGTCTCTCTCTGTCTCTCTCTCTCTCTTGCTCTCCCACCTTTCCTTCTGTGCATATCTCATGCTGGAGCACCATATACAATGTTATTATCATCTTGTTTAATTTTTTCTATCCTGCCAATTGAGTTCTCTATTCTGCCCCAATTTAAGCATGTGCCGGATTTCTTTTTAAAAGACTTTTAATGCAATTCTAGACATTTCACACTTTATAATCCCTTCTTGTTTATTCCGTATGTAAATTCCGTTAATATTCTTAAAGTTACTGTTATTAATTAATAACCGTTAAGTGCAAGAGGCCACTTTTGGAGTGCAATTAAAATTCCATTAATATTCTTGTTTTTCATGTTTTTTTTCTTCATATTTTAAGATGTTTGTTCTCTCTCAAAGCGATTTTGGCTGTAGAGCTCTGCAGCTCTCAGTTGCTTTCAGGAAATTAACTGTGCAATTCTCAGTTGCTTTCTGGAACAGTAAGAAGCATGAACTACATGAAATGTGTGTACACTTTAAATTGTTATTTCTTCTAAAGCTACCCTGTTTAAAATTTATTATACAAATACCACCCTCAATGTTATGGCCTTGGCCTTTCAGCTTTATCAAGCAAAACTGAACAGTTTATGATATCTAGTTTTCATATTTGTAGAGTTGGGTGAATTGTGCATTTACATCCACTCTTTCTGGCAGCTTGACAAGCTAATGATGTACCATCTTTCATTTCCTCTGCAAACTTCTCTCTCTCTAGGATTAACAAAACTTGAATGTCCTCAAGTTCTCCCCCAGAGTCACTGATTGACCAATAGTTCAACCTTATTCTCACCAATTAGAGTTTGGTATGGCATAGGCTTTTGATATTATGCTTTTGCTACCAAGGCCATTCCAACATCAGGTTGTAGAAAACAATCTATGCATTGACAATGAAGTGGGCTTGGATTTGATCGTACTCAGGTAATAATATTCCATGTATGGTTTGTATTTATGAAAGTGATTTAAAAAGTCTATTCTAAGTGGGGGATTATGGGATAGAGTTCGTTTTTTATGGTGCTTTGTTTAGCTGTTCTGCATTCTGCTTGGGATCATTTAAGATTGTTTTTTTTATGTTTATAGAAGCTACGTGGTTATGGATTTTATGCACTCCAGTGGACAGCTTGTCCATTACTTGTCTTTTGGTCCATTCTGTGTGTACTCAAGGCTTTTGATGAACATGGCTGTTATCGTTATATGGATTAGTTTATCATGCACTATGTAGTGGTTCACTTTTCTTGATCACCCAAAAGCATAAGAAGGAAAGAACATTTACTGGTTTTCACTTCATAAAATCAAATATGTTCAACTTATCTTTATTACCTTCAGGTTCGAATACTTGATTTCTTTTGAACCTCCACCTTTCTATCAGGCGTCGAAATTTGTTTCCTACTTTTGTGCTACTGACTATTTTGGATGTGTTATTTTCAGGTTTGGCTTTTCACCCAATTGATGGGATACTGCAGGCAGTTCCACATGTTATAGCTCTGTTTGTTGTGCCAATGCATTTCACAACCCACATAGCGCTCCTATTTATCGAGGCCATATGGACAGCAAACATTCACGATTGCATCCATGCCAAAATATGGCCTGTCATGGGTGCTGGCTACCACACCATACATCATACAACTTACCGCCATAATTATGGCCATTATACAATATGGATGGATTGGATGTTTGGAACGCTTCGTGATCCTATTGACGACGAATTAAAGGTGTTATGATGAACTCACTGCGTCGGTTACCTTTATGCAGCTTTGATTTTTCATTGATTTTTTATGCTGGTTGGGTTTCTTTTCGTGTATGTGGTCTTTGCTTGTACATAGAAGCTGGCAAAGAAGATGTTTTCATCATTAGCAGGGGCTTTATCTCCTTCATATTTATTCAGTTGGTCCTAAATCCCATAGCCCATGTTGTCACTGAAATAAACTGCAGTTGTGAACTTTTGGGGCATGTTTTGAATGAATTAGGAATTTCTTAATTGGAGATATATTTTTTCTGACTGGAATTAGAGATGTGCTGTGGAAATTTTTCTGTTAAGATTTAAAGATAATGGAATTGTGGAAATGAGTGAAAGGAACCTTTGAACAACAGGACTGCGTCTTTGCTTAAGTTGATTGTACAACATTGCATAGAACCTTTGGAACAGTCTCTATACTATGTAGATGTTGCATGGAACAATGAGGTTAACTTGTTTTGGGTTTCAGGGAAGGTGTTCTTGAAAGATTAGGTGAGCATGGTGGTAACTTAGGTATTAGACTTTCAAATAATAGAGGTCATATAGAGGCCGCCAAAGTTTAATTTGGTAAGTAGGGTAGGACTGACAATTTTTTTATGACATGACAACTTGAATTCCATAAAATATGACATCACTCACTAACGTGAATAATAAACAGTTCGGGGTTAATGTCAAACATGAGTAACTTGATTTTTAGAAAATAGAAACTCAATTTAGGTAAGGGATTTATAGCTAAATCGGTTAAGAGAATTTATCCC